TGGTTCTGATTCTATCTTCATTAGATGTGTATCCTTGAAAGTTACCAAACTGTTTAACACCATCTATATGCAGATGATATCCAGCTGTGTTGTTGCTTCGACCATCTGAGTTGTATAAGCTGTCTGATCTCACTATCCAAATAACAACCTTGGTGTGATTTGATAGTTTCTTTATCATTTGAGAACTAGTTCATAGCTGCTTTTATCATTCAGGGAACATCTCAAGATTACCTGTTCTTGTTACACACTGAACTAGATTGTTTAATCGTTTATTTCTCCCTGTTGTATAGTCTTTTTAACTCTTTGAACAAATCCTTCTTGGCCCATCTTCAGCCTGTGCAGAAGGCTGATGGATAAAACTAATAGAAAGGCAATTATTACCCCTGCACTGGTTACCTGAATTAATCTAATACAGGATCTTTTCCGGTTGAACCTCGTATCCGTTTTAAAACTTGCGGTGGTCGTGCTTTTCAGATAGTGGCTCTGTGAATTTGGAAAACTTTCCTACTGTCTCTGCACTGCACAGAATCCACTTTAAAGAAACATCTTAAGGCGTTTTTAATTGACAAGGCATTTTCTTGAGCATGGTTTGTGTTTAATATTGCTTAATATTCTTGTGTAGCGCTTTGCGATGTCAGTAAAGACCAATTTATGCTTCTGACGCATAGCCTCTGCAACCTTCAAATCTGTCTCTGTGCGCGACCACGCCCCCCGTGCAGAGGTTCTGCAAGCGTCGCTGCGTACCTCAAGAAAATCCTGAATACGCGTCGGACAGTCGCAAACAAGTGAAGTGCGCAGACAAAAAGCAGCTGCGATTGGTCCTTGGTATGCCTTTCCGGCTGTCTGTGTGGTCGTCCTTCTCGATTCGGTGCCGAGGAACTACAATGGGCAACTATGACGAAAGGTTAACCTGCCTTTTTTGTCAACCCTATCAACATTACCTGTTCCTCTTCGATATCTAGAAACTCTAGATCCATCTCTGCAATATCTTGCAGACGCGCCATTGTTCTTTTGGAAGATAAACGCTCCCACCGGCGCCGCCGTAGTTCACGGGACCATCCACCGAAGTTCTTGCTACTTCTTGAATAGGCTCCCTATTGCGCTTTGGCCGGAAACTGCTGTGCGTCCCTAGAAATTCTAGACCGTTGTTGCAGAAGCATACCAGCAAAACTGGTTGGTGACCAGACCCAAGCGACATTTGATGTGTGCGGTTGCAGAAGTCTTATCTGCCCTTTACTGTGAAAGGTGCTGCAGAATTGAAATTGTATTTAACGTTTACAAATGCTCCTGGTGCATTTAAGCAAAAGAGGGTGCAGATTTGAGAGCCAACAAAAAAACGAAATGGGTGGTTATTTATCGTAATGCTTTATCACGATACATTTCTAGTGATAACAATTTAGATTTATTGTCAAACAAAATAAGCTGATGATTTAAAAAAAAGTAGGAATTCAGATTTTTTTTTTATCTTTATCATCTTTCAATTTTTATCAATTGGGCAATGGCAAATATAAAGAATATGGTTTGATGCTGTTACTATGGGATATTTAGGGATTTAAATCACAGTATTTGTAAATGGTGTCATGAGGAAGCCAATTTTAAATTTGTACGTTTTCAGCAGTAATGTTTGTGGGACTCTGACTGCTATGAAATGCATTCACAGCTTATCTAAAAACTAGGGCTGAAACAAAACCTCGTATTAATCGTGATTAATCGATTATTTAAATAAACATCAACTCATTTATTAATCCATGAATCTTTTAAATGGAGTGTAGAGACTCTAAAAAATAGCCTTTAGCTGACAGAGCAACCCACTTAGAGCAGTAATTATATCGTAATTGTAAAAAAAATAAATTTTAACATTTTGCATTTAAGATAAAAGCAATGTTTGTCAATGTGCTTTATCGAGAATTTAAGTGGAAACATTTTTATTTCACTTGGTCTAATATAATAAAAAGTCTTCTTTAATGAACCTTTGGCTATCAGATTATTAATTGATTAATTAAAAAAAGTAATTGACCGATTGAATGATTTGCAAAATAATTTTTAGTTGCAGCCCTACCGAGAAGGACTAAAATGATGAATTAATCAAGAGTGTTTTATCTTCAATTTTGTCACTCTCATACCACAAAATATTGTAAAAAGAGCTTTTTAAGGCCCAAGGTGGCACACTTGTTGAAAAAAGTTAATGGTTTTCCACCAAACATCATAATTATTTGCAACTTTATCTTTCACATAAAACTCCTGTAAAACAATGTGTGGTTATTAAATGGTACAAAATTATAATGTTTATATCGGTGCAGATAATCTTTGCTTCTGGTTTACATTTTTAGTTTAAGATGATGGTTCAACCTTTAGGTTTGATGTCCAGTAATTTTGCAAACGTGGCTAATTGCTGCTAAATAAAGCTCGTTTTTGTTTCCTTTTCTGTAAATTGCAGTCCATGACATTAAAAGACGCCATCAAGTCCTCTCTGACCATCCTGAAGCAGGTGATGGAAGAGAAGCTCAACGCCACCAACATTGAGGTTAGTACTTCCTGAACTCTCAGCTACTTTTTATTTCTGTAATGTTTCCTTGTGTGAGACTGCTGAGGTTTTTATGTTCTTCCTTCCAGCTGGCCACGGTAGAGCCCGGTAAGACCTTCCACATGTACACCAAAGAGGAACTGGAGGATGTAATCAAGGACATCTAGTGTAGAAAACTCTCGGTTGAAGTTCTGGGCTGAAAAGAAGGGGATGCATTCATGTCACTGACTACAACTTTCCAACCACCTGCAGCATTCAGAATTTCTTTTCAAAGGTTTCTATTTGCAATGTTCCAATTTGCCTCTTGTCTAACTGTCTGAGCAGCTCTGTTGAAGGAGAGTGATCATCACCTGCAGCTGAGTGAGGGGGGGAGATAAATGTGGGCTGGGGAGGGATATGTTTTGTTACGGATCAATACTATAATAAAAACTTATCAGAAAGTGACCGATGTTTTTATTTTTGTTGATAAAACAGCAGGAAATATGGTGATATGAAATATATAGGATAGGAGAGGTTAATGGATTTTGGCTGTCATTAAAATCAATGCAAACATGCAAATACTAATTCTGCATTCAGATTAATACTAACAGATTTTTTAAGATTGATTTTGTGCAACTAGGTTTGAAGACCTGTCTAACTTCACTTCAGCTAAAGTAAAAATTTAAATTGGAGCTAAGCCTGTTTAAGATTCTCATTAAATAACCTTTCAGTTAATTTTGTTTATTTCTATGTGATGTTTAAAAAATAAGATGCTAATTAAAGTTTTGGAAAGATAAACCAGCTGTCGCACAGACCCAGGCCCTTTGCTCTGATGAACACCTAACAGTCCCAGACTGCCTGGATCAATACACGTTCATTATGCAAACATTTCTTCTGCTTTTGACAAAAAAAATATATTGACCTTCATATATACAAAATACAAACTTTTTTTTTCTTTTTGTTCCCTACCATATATATTTAACTGAGCTAGATTAAAAATAAAGTTAAACTGCAGCATTAATTTATTTTGCACTGGTTAAAGGTAGTAGTATCCTCTGGGAACTATGGAATAAGAAATGGAGACTTTAAAAAGATGGTTTTGTCACTGAATCTATAATTAAAACTACTGTAAAACTTAGAAACGTATATAATTTAAGATGAATAACTTTGAAATAGTATATGAAAATACTTTTCTAGGTGTTAAAGGTCCCAAAGTTAGTTGGAAATTACATAAGAGTAAAGTATCTAAACCCAGAGTGATCTTAAATACAACTAATTCCATAATACAAATTCAGTTTGTAGTCCTTATAGCTCCATATTAGCTCATACTGTGTTGAGATTTTGGGGTCACAGATCAAACAATTGCATCCCCATTTATTTACTGAGGAAAAAATATTTAGAATTATAAATAAGACAAATTATTACCACACACTATAAAATCACAAGTTTTAAAGTTTGCTGATCTAGTCAGCTTAATAACTGCTCAAATATTTAGGGGATGTTTCAGGTATGAGTACATCACTATCATATGAATCGAAGCTGCATATTCTACCAAATATAGACCAGAAAGGTGTTTTTAACAGTTAAAGGTGTCCAGCTGCGTCAGGATCAGTACTCTTTGCAGATCGGTTCTGATTTATAGTGAGTCTCTTCCTCTTTTGCAGTTAAAATGCTTGTGTCTGAAGCCTCCCTAAAATGTTCCCATAAGAAACAAAGTTCAAAGTAATGTACAGTTTAACGAGCTGAACATTCCCACTGTAATGTGTGCTACAGCATTACATATGTTGGTAATTCAGTTACAAAACTACTATGTATTTTTGGTACGTGAAACAAAAAACAGACTTAGACAAACTTGGTCATTTTGTTTAAACAGAGCGTATACAAAACAAAATTTTTATGCTTACAACTTACAATTGAAATGACCATCACCATTTATAAAGTGCAGCAGTGATCAGAATATAAACAGTGTAGAAGAAAAGGAAAACCAGTTTCAAGTCATGGTGCAAAAATTAAAGGTTAGGTTCAGCAAAAATAAATATGGTGCAAAATGCAAAAATAGCTGATGACTAAAAATAGTGACACTAAAGTTCTTTATTGGACAGGGACCCTTTTTCTTGCAAATCTAAAGTGCCTCTTAAATTATTTTTAACAGTTTATTTGACCTTAATCCTTTGCAAAGTAAAAAAGTAAATAGGCTGTTGTGCTCAGTAGGGTAATTTTAAAGATATTGTTAATCAAAATTGTTCTCTTTCGCTGACACTGAGTTTAAAACAAATTATCTTTGTCATTACACAGCAAAAACAGAAATAAGTGGTTTGCTTACATCATCACTGTTCCTTTATGTGGATGAACTATTACATAAAAATATCTCTCTCTTTCATTGCCACTGCTATGTTTTCCGAGGACTCGTAAACCTTTTTTTTTTTTTCATTTACTCGGCTGTTTAGCAATGAAAACAATCAAGTTGTGTAAGGCCATTTCTTTTGGCCTCTTAAAGCTTCTTGGAACAACAAGCAGATTCACAGAATAAATCCTCCTTTAATGGATTGTCCTCCTGGCTGTTTGCGGGCTTTCCACCAGGGGGCAGTCTAACTCCCAAAGTAAGCCACCTCCCCGGCAGAGCTCTCGTCCAATCAAATTTCAGCTTGTTCTGGGTTTGACCAATCCCGTGCTGCGGCAAATGGGCCGTTATTGAGAACGCTTTGGGGGGACATGTGAAGCCAAGCGGTGGGACAGCAGAGTTTTCTCAGCTTCTCAGGCTGCGCGCTGCAACTTTTTGTTTCGTAATCATCATGATCTGCAGGATTTTGGTCTTCGGGTTGTTTTCGTCCGCGCTGGGCAGACATCTGCAGGGGGGAGACGGCTTGTCCCGGGTCAGGAGGCTGCGTGAAGAGGCCGGGGATGCTGGGGAGCCACATAGCTTGGAGAGGAGGGAGCTGACGAGGCGCAGCGCTGGGCTGAATGAGCGGACATGCACGGATCTCCGTGGAGTGGAGGCAGCGCTGCAAAACAGCACCAGCAATGTAAGCAACCCCACAGGAATCAGATCATTTCCTCCTCATCAAACTGTTATTTTCACATAAGGAGGATGTGATTAGTTTAAATAACTTAAAACAAGATTATAAACTTTATTGGTATGAGCAATCAGTTACAGCATAAATCTGCTTTTGTTTTTTTGGGACAATGTAAAAAAAGGTGAAGGGGACATTTTTTAATTAAAGTTTTCTGTATATTGATTTAGTTTGTTATGACTTAAAGTCACAAGTTCTGCATCATCAGAGGCGTAGGTAGAACATTTTTATAAGGGTGGCCAAAAATGGATAGGCACCAGAACCTCAGGGTTAATCTACACCAGGGGTAAACAATTAAGATATATATAGCTATTTAATATGATATAAAAGCTGGAAGCAAGAGCTGTTATTTAATCTGAGAATAATTCAACATAAATTGTCTGATATATATAAAAAAAAG